GGGTTGGCGGTGGGTGTTTGGGGTCACTGCGGCGGTGGTGGCCTCGTGTTGCCGAGGCTGCTCTGTGCCTTCGGCCTCGGTCGGTCACTGATGGCTGCAGAGCGAGGTCTCTCGCCCCGCAGGGAACTTCCAGGTGAGCTGCGTCTCTCTGCTGGTTGAACTGCGAGAGAGGAAAAGGGAGAAAAGGGGAAAAGAGGGAAATTTGGGGGATGGCTTCTCTTTGGCTGAGCATCCCGCACTGCTCGCATCCGCCCGGCTCGCTGCCTGCACCGAAGCGGATTTCAGCAGCGAGGGAAAACCTCAAAGAGCTTTGGGGATTAGGAACGGGCTCAGGGGATGGGAGCTGCGATATCTCATCCTGCATCTCGGCCGATATCCCATCCTGCACCCTGGCAGGGCACTGTCACAGCAGTTCTCGGGCAGCGGGGATGCTCCCAGACCACTTCTGTCTCCCTGTCCCCGTCCCGTCCCCACATCCCGCCCGGCGCTGCCCTGTGCGCCGCCCCAGCATCGCTCCCGTCCCAGCTCTGCTTTGCGAGAAGGGTTCCTTAACGATTCAGCACTGAATTCCCGCAGCACCTCCTGCAGCGGGCACAGAGCGCGGATGGGGAAGGCATTGCTCTGTCCGCTGGGGCTGCGCTGAGCTCCTGTCCCCGTCCCCTCGCCAGGACTTTGCCTTTCCGCGGTGACCTTCACCCCGGTGTCCCTCCCCGGTTAGGGTTTCTGTTTGACCATGGTACAAAACCTTTTAAATCCCACAGCCCCTGGAGACGAGGAGAATGGAAGGAGATTGAAGGGAGATGGGGGGAAGGAGGAACAGCACTGTGAGCACCGGAGTCTGGATTTGGGGCTGGGGTCTGACTCAGCAGTGCTGGGACTCTGGCGCTCGGAAATTGGGGCGCATCTCCAGGCGGCGGTGGTGATGTTTTCCCCCACTGCGGATGGGGGTGGGCAGCCTCCCTCTCCCTGCCCCACACCTGGAATGGGCCCCCTGCCCGCCCCACTCGGACCCTCAGCTCCGTGCTTTTCCGATGGCCTCTAAGCCGCTTGTTTTAATAGCATTAATGCTTTTAAACAAACAGCCCCTTCACCTCCGCCTGCTTCGCGCGATGCCCGGGAGGGCTGAGCAAGATAAGGGGATTGGAGCGGGATTTGGGAGAGATAAAGGGGCAGGAATCCAGGCAGACCCCAGCACGGACAGACCTCAACCTGGACAGACCTCAGCCCAGACAGACAGACGAGTTTGGTCCCATGAGGTCGACACCATGCGCTGTGTCCCCATCCCAGGGATACCTCACTGCTTGTGTCCCTTGGGCAGTTGTGTTCCCATCCCCAATTGAAAGCCCATCACCTCCCTCCCCTCCTGCTCAAGGTGTCCCTCATCCCAAAGGGGGGCACCCCGGGGTGACACCTCCAGGTCCAGGGGTCCCAAAGGGCTCAACCCAGCCGGGAAGCGCCGACCCACAACCTTTGGCACGGGGACCACAGAGACATGAAAGCGGCGGCGAGGCGCTCGCTAATGAGGGAGAATAAAGGAGCGGGGAGAGCAAAGCAAATGAGGAGAGCAAACAAGAAGGGAAGAACAGGCAAGAGGCATTTTCATAACCGCTCGGTGCTGAGCGAGCCCTCAGGGCGGTTCTTCGCCTCCTGCCCTTTGTATCTGCTGTTCTCAGGGGCCTGTTTGCATTTCTGCTCGAATCCAAACAGCCCGCGCTGCCCCGGCTCTATTTACCCTCCTGGGACGGCGCCGGGGCCGACGTGGAACCCACAGCCCAAAAAAATGGCCATCACCACCACCTCCCAGCTCTGCCATCGCCTCTT